TGGGTCGCACGGCGCGCGGCGCGACGTACCATTCAGACTGCACTGTCGCGCGTGCCTCCACATAGAGCCGCGGCTACTGCATGCCGGCACAACCTGCCGAGCGCGCGCGCTGAGGCGGCCCTGCTGGGCGGCCGCGGTGACTGCGTCACAAGTATAGGCAGCCAACGCAATGGGCTGACGCCGATGACGATGGACACGCAGACGCCAACCTGGACGTTGCGCGAAGCGGGCTGGCAGGGCTGACGTGACCATGCCAAAGCCGCGGTCGCAGCTCACTGGATGAGGTCGCAGTCCAAGCGCCACTACCTGGAGAGGCGCTGCTGCTGCCTTCTGCTGGCGGCCGATCCTGGGCTCGTTGTCGTAGTTGACGCGATCATGAAGACGCGGCAGCGGCGTTGACCTTGAAGAGCGAGGTGGTCTGGCCCCCAAAAACTTATTACGTCAGCAAGGCGCAACCGGGCACGTTGCCACACATACGCGCTTCGCGGTCGCCAGCCCAGAAGCGCCCTCAGTCGCCGCGAGAGTCAGACAGCAAGTTGCGACAAACTGGGACCGCACAAACAGATGCGGATGATAGTTGCCGCGCGCAGCAGCGAGCACGCCGCGCTTGGCTGGAGGTCAAAACAGCGGCTTGTTGTAGCGCCCCTCTTGCTTAGCGACTGCAGGTGGAGGTTGCGGCTGCCAGCGGCCGTTGGCAGGAGCAGAGCAGGCATCCGCCTGGCGGCCGCCTTGATGGGAAAGTATCTGGATGGAGACACTGATCGAGGAGCGATACGGGGAAGGCTGAGCAGAGGCAGGGTTGGGCAGATCTGCGCGAGCCGCGTGGAGGCGCAGCCTCGCTCTTCCTTCGCATTGTGGCGTTTTTCGCGGCACCCTCCATTTTTCCTCCTCCTCCTCCTCCTCCTCCTCCTCCTCCTCCTCCTCCTCCTCCTCCTCCTCCTCCTCCTCCTCCTCCTCCCCCCCTGCTCTTGACTGTTCTATTCGTGCCTTGTTTTGGATCGTCCTCCGCGCCCTCTGGCTTGCCGCGGCCCCCGTCGCTCTCTGGCTGGCGCACCCCCCACCGCCCTCCAGCTTGACCGGCCGCAGCAGGCGCTCCGCGGCGCGCGGCGCGGCAGAAGAAAACCAAATGGGCAGCGAGCCCGCGGGCGGGCACCCGAGAGATTCCCCGCGCAGAGTCGCGGGCACGGGGGAGCGCTGGCGCGCGCGCGCGAGGTCCTGACAGGGCCGCAGACAGACTTGCGAACTGGCCCCAACCGCGGGCTGCTGCGGCGCAGCGCACGACCGCTCTCTGCACACCTGTCCACTTACCCAGGCTACAGCACAGAGGCCGCGCACTCGCAGCCACCGACAACAAATTGAGAAAAGAGATCTGGCAGAACGCGACGCACTGCATTTTGATGGGTTGATGGGGGGAAGCAAAAGACCGTGATAGACATGCATAACGAGATGAAGACGAACATATAAGTAGTAAGCACACATCCAAGAGGCGAGCATGTTGTGCCCGGCTCGGCGTGGACCTGGCGGTTCGTTGGGAAGACGCTTCAAGCTCTGAGAAGCTCGATCACTTGGATCGTCGGGCGCCGACTCCACCACTGGCGCTAAACACGATATTACACCAGATGCGCGGTGCGGACCGACGGGCGCCATTGGTAAAGGGGATGCCAAGTCGCCAAGCCCGTCGGCCCGACCTCAACGGAGGCGCTCCCCCCACCGGACAGCGGCCGAGCAAGTGACAACGCACCGAAGAATTGAAGTGATGGGCCCGCAGCAGGTTGCACGCTAAAGGAAGATCGCGCCGCGTGGCACACGAACAGACGAGCGGCGGTGCGCAGCGAGGTAGCACTGCCCACGTCAGCTGGCATGCGCCTCAACTGCTTTTATTCACTGAGGCGGTGATGTGGCTGCGTAAGTTGATAAAGGATAGAGATACGGAGATATGCGTACAATATGACAAATCAACACACAGGCTGGGACCGCATGCCGTCTGACCCGGCCCGCACAAAGTCTCTCCGTGCGCTGCATCCCGTGCGACAGAGCCGATGGTAGCCTGTGCGCGGCTGGGAGAAACCAACATCGGTGCCAGCAGAAACCGAAGAGGTGGTTGAAGCCGAGCAAGCGTGCGAAAACGGCTAGGTATAACAATGCCCAGGCGTGCCTAGCACAGCGCATGGTTGCGCACAGGCGTGGCATGCGTCTACCTCTGCGCACGCTCCCGCGCGCAGCTGAGCATAACGATGCCCAGCGTGCGCTGAGAGACCCACAGGTGCGCGCGGTCACAGCACTGCGCGCGCTGGCACCATCGGTCACAAACAATGTCCCAGCGTGTGTCGCATAAAGGATGGGCGTGCCAAGGCATTGCAAACTGCGCTTACGCAGCTGCATCACCTGGCATACACAATGCCCCAGGCGCGCTGCACATCGTACGGGTGCCCGGAAGCGGCGCCACTTACAATGCGCAGGCGTGCTCCCAACCAGAGAATCCTGAGCGACAGGACAGCTGCCAATGACGGGACAGCCGCGCACGCTTCTCTGTCCGAAACAGACGTGCCTGGCAGAGGGTGCACATGTTGCCGTGCGGCCGCACGCCAAGACCAAATGGAACAGCGAAAGGCGTAAACAATATTGCGGCCAAAGCCACGACAGACGAGTCAACATGCCTGAAGCCAAACGTTCCGTGCATGGTGCATCCGAGCGTCAGAGCACACGACATGCGCTAGAGTATGGAACAACAGGTCGTGAGGTCAAGTAAGTGGCACAGCTATGCCCCGATTGTCTGTCAATCGCACTCGACGGTGCTACCTTGTTGAATGACAAATGGTCGTGGCCAGAGCCACCCGTAGTGTAGCACGTAGGCAAGGCCATTTCCCTGTTCTCTTGGATAAGAGCCATTCACAGGGCGACCGGGCAGCACGCGGCACGACAGCAGTAGGTGCCAGCGGCATGCCTGAACGCCGCATCCTGGAAGAATGGCGGCGTGAACGACGGTGAATTCGCCGTCGGAATCCGCCTCGAGGAAGAGCCAGAAAAAGAAGTTCAGCAGCTCGCAGTTGGTTGACGGTCAAGATGACACGAAGAACCCAAAAAACAATGGGCGTGGCTTGGCCGCCGTGCTGGCTGCAGCAGAACATGGTGATTGCAACACTCGTTTTATGTGCGTGTGGCCGGCTGCGGTCCCCAGCCGGGACACCAACATTCATTGACGACATCACGTTGGTACGTAGTGGGGTATTGCCTAGAGGGCGTGCCTCCTCAGAAAGACTCAACGATCGAATCTGCGCAGGCACATTGGGACTCGGGCCTGCACAAGGACTCGATCATGCGGTCAAGTTTCTGGCGAGGGCAGCGTTTTGAAAACTAACTGCTGGGACCTTCTAAGACGACAGTGCGGGAAGATATGGCGAGAGGAATATTTCAAATAGGGCTGTAATGTTTGAGACGAATGTGCGCGGCGCTGAGGCAAGAGCCAGATTGGCAAAAAAACATACACAAACTCGATGTAACTGTTCGACATGTCAGTCTCTAAGAAAACACTAGACATGGAGGTCTCCAACAAAACGTCCAGTCCAGATTACGTTGCCGACACGTCTGCTGGTGTTACGAAGACGTGCTACATATTTTTATAAATGAATATAAATATTCATATACATATGTGTATATATATATATATACATATATTCCTCTTCCTATATTTTTACAAACCCGGGCGGGGGGGAAACCCGTCCCCCCCCCCACCCCAAAACCGGACTCCCGGGATCTGGGGCTTTGGGACCTTCCGGACGGGCTTTGAAGCGGCCCCCTGGGCCTCGCAGGGCGTTTTGCCAAGCCTTCCCAGCACACCTAGGGCGATCAGGGGGGTCATCGGAGACGTCCCAGAGACCCCCAAGACAGCACAAGAGCGCTCCAAGAGTGACCGACGTGACCTCAAGATGGCCCAAAAGGCCTCCAGGACGGCCCCAAAGAAGCCTCCAAGAGAACTCCCAAGAAGGCCCCAAGATGCACAAATCTGTAATTTTCTGTCGGTTCTTGCTGAATTTTGGGGTTCTCCTCTTTTCGGCTTCCCGACGCTCCAAGACGGCGGTCTTCTGGGCGTCCGAAGCCGCCTGGGAGGCTCCAACATCGCCCCACAACCATCCGAAATGGCTTCCAAGCAATCCAAGAGAGCCCCATACGGCACAACACGGGTCCAAGATGGCCCTCAGAGAGCCCCATGGCGGCCCAAGATGGCCCCAATATACCCTCGGAAGCATTCCAAATCGTGACCGGGTCGTTCAGGGAGACCGCGGTTGGAGGCAGGGTGGTCCGAGGAAGTCCCCAAAGGCTCCCAGAATACGCCCAGGAGGCCTCCAGAAGGCCTTAAGAAAGCCTGAGACAACTTTTGTGAGGCCCCCAGAGGCTCTCCAAGGAGGAGCCTCCGCAAAAAAGAGCTGAGGAGGATAGAGGAGAATGCACAGGGTACGGCGGAAATCAGGAACAAGAAGCATGGAGGAAGGATAACGAATAACATTATTATAGCGGCGATGCCGGAAAAGGCAACAAGGAGTTATCTCTAAATTGTCGGCTTGACCTTCCTGCTATTCCGCCTGCATACCAAACTTCAAGGACCAAGGTGCATGGCGCGAAGCGCCACTGCAGTCTTGTGTGTATGTATATATATATATACATACATACATATACATATAAGGAAGCGGGGTGTAAGGCGGGCAGGGCAGGGAGGGAGGCAGACGGAAGGGGGAGGGAGCGAAGCGAGGGACTGCGGAGAAGAAGAAGGGGGGGACGGGCCAGGAGAGGGAAAGAGAGACGTGCGAAATTATGTGAGGGGGACGACGGCGGCGACGGCAACAACGGCAACGACGACAAGAACCACGACGACGACGACGACGACGACGACGACGACGACGACGACGACGACGACGACGACGACGACGACGACGACGACGACGACGGCGGCGGCGGCGGCGGCGGTGGCGACGACGGCGGAGAAAGGGGGCGGAGCCGCGATCCTGCAGGGCCTCGCGCTCCTTGGCCTTGGCCTTGGCCTTGGCCTGGGCTTCGACCTCCTCCTCGACCTTCTTCTGCCACTGCTGGCTCGCTGGGCTCTGACAGCCCGCGTCCTTGACCGCCTCCCTCTCCTCCTCGGACTCGGACTCGGACCCGGAGCTCTCCTCGGACTCCTCCTCGGAGTCCTCCTCGGACTCCGCCCCCTCAGCCTCCGCCTCCTGGCCCTCCTCCTCCTCCTCCTCCTCCTCCTCCTCCTCCTCCTCCTCCTCTGCGCCCTCGTCGCTGGCGTCCTCCTCCTCCTCCTCCTCCTCCTCCTCGGAGGCCTCCACCCTCTCCTGCCCGCTGGCCGCCACGAGGCCGTGCTCGCCCTCGCCGCTGCCGCCCTCCCCTTCCGCCACCTCGCCCGCCCCGCCCGCTGTGCTGCCCTCGCCCTCGAGCTCGCTGGCGGCCCCGCGCTCGCTGGCGTCCGCGTCCTCGCCCTCGCGCTCGCCCGCGGCCTCCTCCGAGGCGGCGCTCGTCTCGCGCGTGCTGGCCGGGCCGCGGATGGCACAGGCCTCTCGCGGGGCGCCGGAGGACGGAGGGGGGCGAATCAGCGCATGCCGGCCCGAGGCACGTAGCACGGACGACGGGGCGGGCCGCCGCACGAGGGGCACGGGTCGCGAGCCGAGAGGCAGGCGCCACGACCACGACGCCGACGAGGACGAGGACGAGGACGAGGACGAGGACGAGGACGACGACGACGACGACGACGACGACGAGGACGACGACGACGACGACGACGACGAGGACGACGACGACGACGACAAGGCGCGCAGCAGACGAGCACCGAAGCAGATTTGGGGAAGAGCACACCACGGATTTGGGAGAGGGCAGACCCTGCAGGTTCGATGAAACAGCACATCGTTGAGCGGCGCTGCAGCCTCCCCTGAAGGGGGGGGGGCAGGAGACGTGCTGGCAGGAAGGTAAAGAAGAGGGCTGTGATATCCGAGAGATCGCACGGCACTGGCCGCGATGCCACCCGCCCACCCCCGCCCCCCGAGGCCTCCTCCCCCCTTCCTCGACGCCCCCGAGCCTGCACGGGCCCTGTGGGAAGCAGGCCCCGGGCCCCAGGGCGCCTCCCGAAGCCCCGCTCTTCGCCCGGAGCCGTCCTCCGACGGCCCCCAATCAGCCCGTGGATGGCCCAGGGGGGAGGGAGGCCCAAGGCGGCGACAAAACAGAATCAGGACCCCCGGGGAGGCCCACGACGGAAGACGGCGGCAAGAGCCTCAGCGCCCTGACGGGGGCCCAGAGCGGCGACGAACACCTCGGGGCCCCAGGGGAGGCCCTGGGCGGCCGCCCGACGTCGCGCATCGCGCCCCGCGATGCGCAACGCGCCACGAGCTGCGCGCCCTCGCGCCGCCCCCTTTGGAAAAGCGCAACCGCTCCGGCCCAGACCGCGAAGCGCGAGGCGCGGCTGCTATCGCGCCAATGCGGATGACCGGAGCACCGTCTTCCTGAAGACAAGCCTGACGAAAGTGGCCATGGGTTTCAGAGAACGCTTCGAGGGCGCATCGGAGACTTGATGGGACTACCCAGGCATGGGGCCATCTTCTCGCAACGGCGCCCCTCCTCCCCCGCCCAGTGCTGCACCGAGACCCCCAGTCAGGCGGCGGCCACATCAAGAGCCAACTTTGGATGGGGGAGGAGGAGGCTGCTGAATCGATCGATCAAGCTTTACTTCAGGAGGGCTGTAGGTTCCCGAGGGCCCCCCAGTGGCACTCTCCAGGAACATGGTTTTGGGAAGGCCTTGAGACTTTCAAGGGCCCAAACAGTTCACCGCAGGCAAAGCATGTCGCTGAAGGCAATGTAATTATTTTGCCTCGGGATGGTGGCAACGAGCTCACCGAAGGCAAGAAGTTGTGACCTCAGCGAGAAAATGCCTTTAGAAAACAATGCCTTCGGTGTATACGTAGCCCCCCGCAATTGCGGATAAGAGTGAGGGGGCGGGCGCCGATTGCTGTTGTAGAGTAAACGTGGCACCAGGGGAATGGCACGAGTGCGCTTTCACAAACCAATGCGAGCAAGCCCGCCGCAGGCGCCGATTTGCGTGCTCTGACAAGTTCAGCGCGGGGGAGACGCTGGTGGGCCACCCGGAACGAATGCAAAAAAAAGCCCGCCGCAGGCGCCGAATTTTTGGCTTGTTCAGTGAACGCAGTTTGGGTCGCGGGTGGGTCGCGGGCTCTCCACCTCCACCTGGAAGGAATTCAAAAACAGCCCGCCGCAGGCGCCCAAAACTTTGATTTGCACACTGAACGCGGTTTGGGTCGCAGGTTCTCCACCTGGAACGAATGCAAAAGAAACCCGCCGCAGGCGCCGAAGTTTTGGTTTGTTCAGTGAACGTAGTTTGGGTCGCGGGTGGGTCGCGGGCTCTCCACCTCCACCTGGAAGGAATTCAAAAACAGCCCGCCGCAGGCGCCCAAAATTTTGATTTGCACACTGAACGCGGTTTGGGTCGCGGGTGGGTCGCAGGTGCTCCACCTGGAACGAATGCAAAAGAAACCCACCGCAGGCGAGAAAATGTTGGGTGGGTCGCGGGGTGGGTCGCGGGTGGGTCGCGGGTGGAGCGCGGGGTGGGTCGCGGGGCGGGTCGCGGTAGGTCGCGTGTGGGTCGCGGGGAGGGGTGGGTCGCGGGTGGGTTCGGGGTGGGTCGCCGGTAGGTCGCGGGTGGGTCGACGATGGGCAAAAGAAACCCGCCGAAGGCGCGCCGAAGTTTTGGCTTGTTCAGTGAACGTTAATTGGTGGGATCGCGGTTGGGTCGCGGGCTCTCCACCTCCAATTGGAAGGAATTCAAAAACAGCACGCCGCAGGCGCCGAAAATTTTGATTTGTACATCTGAAAGCGGTTTGGGTCGCGGGTGGGTCGCAGGTTCTCCACATGGAACACATTCAAAAGAAACCCGCCGCAGGCGCCGAAAATTTTGGGTGGGTCGCGGGTGGGTCGCGGGTGGGTCGCGGGATGGGTCGCGGTGGGTCGCTGGTGGGTCGCGGGTGTGTCGCGGGATGGGTCGCGGGGTGGGTCGCGGGTGGGTCTCGGGTGGGTCGCCGGTGGTTCGCGGGTGGGTCGCTGGGGGGGTCTCGGGGTGGGTCGCGGGCGGGTCGCGGGGTGGGTCGCGGGTGGGTCGCGGGTGGGTCGCGGGTGGGTCGCGGGGTGGGTCGCGGGTGAGTCGCGGGGTGGGTCGCGGGTGGGTCGCGGGTGGGTCGCGGGGTGGGTCGCGGGTGGGTCGCGGGGCGGGTCGCGGGTGGGACGACGACAGCAACAAGCAACAAACAACAACAACAACAACAACAACAACAACAACAACAACAACAACAACAACAACAACAACAACAACAACAACAACAACAACAACAATCATTTTACCCGAACGCTCAGTGTTCTCCCCAGTGCCAGGGTTTTCATGCGACGCCAGCCAATACCCCCACTTCGTGGGGGGGCAATGCAAGCTCTACCAAACATCCACACGACTCTAGGGAACCACCCACACCCAGCTTCCCGCCCTATGACGTCAGGACACTTCACTTCGTGGCGCGCGGACGATCGTGGATACTACACTGGCGTGGAGTACACACCCGCAGAGGTTGATCACTTGTTTGGGCCCCGCATGTGCCCCGCATCGTGCATTCGTTGCGCATGACATAGAGAGAGCAAGACAGAGAGAGAGAGAGAGAGCAAGACAGAGAGACAGAGAGAGAGAGAGAGAGAGCAAGACAGAGAGCCAGAGGAGAGAGAGATAGAAAGAGATTCGTTACATGTGTGAGGCAACCTGAGAAGATGTGGTACACGGTACACGTGAGATGGTACGCACTGCCAAGATAGTTGGTCACATTTTTGGGGCAATTTCCTGGGAAGGCGATGAAGCAGAGAAAGAGCGAGATAGATGTGTTCATATGATAGATATGAAGCAGAGAAAGAGCGAGAGACATAGAGAAGGAGAGAGAGGAGTCGGTCACATCTTTAGGGCAACTTCCTGAGGGATGTGGGAGGACACAAGAGAGAAGGTATCGTTGTCCCGATGGTTGTCTCGATGGTTGCCCCGATGGTTGTCCTGATGGTTATGGTTGTCCCGATCGTTTTCCCGATGCTGGTCCAAATGGTTGTCCCGATGGTTGTCCCGATGGTTGTCCCGATGGCTGTCCGTCTGCGATGCAATGTTGTCTGTTTCTGCTGTTATACAGTCCCAAGGATGACGCATGCAATGCTCATACTTTCTCCTGCTTTCTCCTGTCCGCAGTCAGCCAAGGGAGGCCGCGACAGCTCTGGGCCATACTGGTCGTCAAGAGCTTTCGCCGACAAAGCCATGACCCAGCCAAGAACACAGGCGATACCTTGATCCGAGATGGCTACGGATGTGACAGTGATCAGTCGGAGGCTTCCTGGGGCCGCTTGGGGTCCTCTTGGGGTAGGGGGGAAGCCTCCTGAAGCCGCTTGGGGTCCTCTTGAGCTTTGGGGGGCTTCTTGGAAGCATCTTGGGGCCTCTTGGGAGCTTATTGGGTCCTCACGGCGGGCTCTTGAGGCCTCTTGAAGGCCTCCTGGGGCAACGTATGGCGCAACCAGTAGGGAGCGTTTTATTCTCGGCGGCCGAGGGCGCAACCTATGGCGCAACCAATAGGAGGGCGTTTTATTCTCGGCGGCCGAGGGCGCAACCTATGGCGCAACCGCAAGGGATGGCCCCTGGCAGGCGCGCGAACCCCGTTGCAAGAGCGTGCGAAAGTAGCTCGCGCGAGCTCATGTAACATAAATGTTGGAAAACCATTGGTTTTTTTAGGATTCGGACAGCGCGCGCGGGTGGAAATTTTGAAAAGTCGTGCAGGTGTTTTTCGAGGACCTACGGTGCGATTCGTGTGATTTTATGATGCGCGGTGTAAAATTCTTAAGAACCCAATGGTTTTTGGAGATTTCGGCGTGCGCGCGCGAAGAAAAAACGAATGTGTCCCGCATGGTATTATTTGACAGGGATGATGGCCCTGGCAGGTGCGCAACCGTTGTCGCAGAAGTTTGAAAAAGTTGCTCGCAAAAGCCCGTTTGACAGAAATGTTTAAAAAGTGTTGGTTTCCTACGAATCCGCAAGAGCGCGCGGGATGAGATTTTGACAATTTTTTATTTAAAAAACCATTGGGTTTTTGATGTTTTTATGTTGAAATCGCTCCGAAACCTAAGGTTTTGGAAGGATTTCGTCTTGCACGCGCGAATGTCCACTTTAGCTTATTTTTTGCAAGGGATTCTTGAAATTGGATTACATTTGAACAAGAAATTTCATTTTATAGTGTTTTTTGCAAGGGAAAACGGGGGGGAACAAAACAACCGGATCCGGTACTAATCCACTTTTCTGAAGCTTTCACGAAAAAATGATGAAAATGTAGCTGCGGCCTAGGTTTTGGAGGGGGGTCGTGTACCAGGGGTCCCAACAATAATTATTCTTTAGAAGTAATAATGTTCAACAACAACAACAACAACAACGACAACAACAACAACAACGACGACGACGACGACGACGACGACGACGACGACGACGACGACGACGACGACGACAACAACAACAACAACAACAACGACAACGACAACGACAATGACAACGACAACGACAACGACAACGACAACGACAACGACAACAGCAGCAGCAGCAACAGCAACAGCAGCAGCAACAGCAACAGCAACAGCAGCAGCAGCAGCAACAGCAACAACAACAACAACAACAACAACAACAACAACAACAACAACAACAACAGCGACAACAACAGCAGCAGCAGCAACAGCAGAAACAACAACAACAACAACAACAACAACAACAACAACAACAACAACAACAACAACAACAACAACAATCATTTTAAGGCTGATAGCCCTTATCTGCTCGAGTGTCCACTACCGCGTATTTCCCAAACCCTCGATACCCGCCCTCTTCGTCTTCGATCGTACCCTTTTGGGGGGGTATACCTTTCTTCCCTGCAGGCCGGGCCCTGGCAACCGGCGGGGCGGCCGCGGACCGTCTGCCTGGCCAGCAGCAGCGCTGATCGGCGGGGCGGCCGCGGACCGTCGACCCGACCCCAAGAGGGACGAACAGGGGACCGACCACGACGAGGACGACGACGACGACGAAGACGGCGACGACGAGCGAAAGCGAGAGCGAAAGAGAACGACAGCAAGGCCACGAAGGATACGAAGTAGGCCACGAAGGGCGACAGCGGGGACACAAAGGGAATGCGTATGGGGCCACGAAGAGCACGAACGAGCGGGGGCCACGAAGGGCAGATCATGCGGGGCCACGGAAGGCAACGATGGGGCCACTGAGGGTAGCAACTGGGCCACGTAGGACAATGAGGGGGCCACAAACGGCGACAGCGGGGCCACGAAGGGCACGCACATGGGGCCACAACGGGCGCGACTCCTGGGTGCCTGGGTGTCGGGAGCGCGGCGCTTGAGCAAATTGCAAGAAATTCCAACGCAAGCACGTCTCCAGCGAGAGCACGACTCCAGAGCGCCGGGAGAGCGATTCCTGAATAAATTGTAACGAAGTCCCAAGCGAGAGCGCGATTCCTGAAGAAAGTGCGAGGAAGTCTCAGGCGGGAGCGGGGGTCCTGGCTAAATTGTGAGGAAGTCTCAGGCGGGAGCCGTTGTTGTTGTAACCTGGGGGCCAGGGGGCCAGTTTGACCAGGAAGACGTCCCTATCAAAAAACAGGGTGCGAGCGTCGAGGGGCACACTTTGATTGAGGAAAAACAATATACACCGGTGGGGGATCAACAATAATTATTCTTCAAAAATGAGACGACAACAACAACAACAACAACAACAACAACAAAAGCAAAAACAAAAACAAAAACAACAAAAACAAAAACAAAAACAAAAACAACAACAACAACAACAACAACAACAACAACAACAACAACAACAATCACTTTACCCGAACGCTCAGTGTTCTCACCAGTGCCAGGGTTTTCATGCGACGCCAGCCAATACCCCCACTTTGTGGGGGGGCAGTGCAAGCTCTACCAAATATCCACACGACTCTTCGCCACCACCCACACCCAGCTTCCCGCCCTATGACGTTCGGACACTTCACTTCGTGGCCTGCGGACGACCGTGGCTACTACACTGGCGTGGAGTACACACCCACAGAAGTTGTTAAGCCTACGTTCGTACACCCACAGAAGTTGTTAAGCCTTGTTAACCCACAGAAGTTGTTAAGCCTTCCACAGAACATCTGTTGCATATGATGCATATGGTACATGATACACATGATACACATGATACGTACTCACAAGATAGTTGATCACATCTTTAGGGCAAATTCCTGAGGGATGTGGGAATACACAAGAGAGAGAGGATATGGTTGTCCCGATGGTTGTCTCGATGGTTGTCCCGATGGTTGTCCTGATGGTTGTGGTTGTCCCGATCGTTGTCCCGATGATTGTCCCGATGGTTGTCCTGATGGTTGTGCTTGTCCCGATCGTTGTCCCGTGACTGTCCCGATGACTGTCCCGATGATTGTCCCGATGGTTGTCCCGATGGTTGTTCCGATGGTTGTCCCGATGGTTGTCCCGATGGTTGCGAGCGAAGAAAAAACGAATGTGTCCCGCATGGTATTATTTGACAGGGATGATGGCCCTGGCAGGTGCGCAACCGTTGTCGCAGAAGTTCGAAAAAGTTGCTCGCAAAAGCCCGTTTGACAGAAATGTTTAAAAAGTGTTGGTTTTCCTACGAATCCGCAAGAGCGCGCGGGATGAGATTTTGACATTTTTTTGTTGAAAAACCATTGGTTTTTTGATGTTTTTATGTTAAAATCGCTCCGAACACTAAGCTTTTGGAAGGATTTCGTCTTGCGCGCGCGAATGTCCACTTTACCTTATTTGTTGCAAGGGATTCTTGAAATTTGATTATATTAGAACAAGAAATGTCATTTTATATTGTTTTTTGCAAGGGAAAGCGGATTACAACAAAACAACCGGATCCTGTACACACCCTCTTTTCTGAGGCTTCCTCACGAAAATGATGAAAATGTAGCTGCGGCCTAGGCGGCGCAGGGGGGGCGCGCACCAGGGGGCCCAACAATAATTATTCTTTAGAATAAATAATGTTCAACAACAACAACAACAACAACATCAACAACAACAAGAATCCGCATCGCGGAATTCCTCTTCAGCCACGCCCCCAGGGACAGTGAGTGACCGTTCGGTTCAGCCCCCTCACTCTGACCTCAATGAGCAGACACGTGCCGCATGTGTGGAAGCCTCCTAGACGGGGTCCGAGTAGATAAGGGGGGCGGAGGAGTGCACCAGGTCGGCACAGTTGGCGGTGCATCGGCGACGCCAGCGTGAAGAAATCAGGCTCCCCGTCGAGACTCATCGGCGCTGCATCGGCGATGCGGCGCGATCTTCCAACCCCATCGCGAGGTGCCGCCCTCGTCGTCGTCGTCGTCGTCGTCGTCGTCGTCGTCGTCGTCGTCGTCGTCGTCGTCGTCCTCGTCGTCGTCGTCGTCCTCCTCCTCCTCCTCCTCCTCCTCCTCCTCCTCCTCCTCCTCCTCCTCCTCCTCGTCGTGGTCGTCGTCGTCGTCTTCGGCGCCCTCCCACGGCGAGGCCTTGACGCCCGCGGCCCCGGCGGCACTCCCGCCGGGCGAGCTCGCCCCCTGAGCGCCCGGGGCCTCCGCGCCCGAGGCCTGCGGGCTCGCCGCCCGCGCCCCCCCAGCCACCTCCGCCGCGCTCGCCGCCCCGCGCGGGGTGTTCCCAACGCGCGCCTCCTCTCGGCGGAGGCACAAGCCAGGGGAGAGGCCGTAGTTTGATGGCTCCTCCTCCTCCTCCTCCTCCTCCTCGTCCTCCTCCTCCTCCTCCTCCTCCTCCTCCTCCTCCTCCTCCTCCTCCTCCCTCCCTCCTCCCTCCCTCCCTCCCTCCATCCATCCATCCATCCATCCATTCCACCCTCCCCCCTCCCTCCCTCCCCTCCCTCCCTCCCCCTCCCTCCCTCCCCTCCCCCCCTCCCTCCCCCACCTCCCTCCCCCCCTCCCTCCCTCCCTCCCCCCTCCCGTCTCGCGCCGCCGGCTCCCGAGTGGGACCGGCACCCCCTGCGCCCAAGGGGGACCGACGGCAAAGCCGGACAGAGGTCCGGCGGGGACTAACCGAGACGAAGGGTAATTCCCTGGCGTTCTCTAGAAAGAAGAGGAGAAGGGAGGAGGAGGGGACGGCCGCGCAAAAGGCGCAGCGGCAGGGGCGGCCCGGCAGAGGAAGGGGAGGGAGGGGGAAGGAAGAGAGGGACGGGGGGCGGCGGCGGTCGTCGGCGTGGTCGAGGTGGTCGCGTTGGTGGTGATCGTGGTGGTCGTGGTGGTCGTGCTGGTGGTGATCGTGGTGGTCGTGACGGTGGTGGTCGTGGTGACTGGTAGTTGTGGTGCTGCTGTGGTGGTCGTGCTGGTGGTGGTGATGCTGGTAGTCAGTCAGCTGGCGGCTGTGGCGGCCGCACTAGCGGCGGTAGCCCTGAGAGCCAGCCGGGCTGGCAGTGGTCGTGCTGGCGGTCGGTCACGCAGTGGTGGTGGTGGTGGTCGGCGCTTATCACCCCAGGGAGCTCAGGATCATTTCCGCGTTCCCTTGTTGTAAGGTGCGTGAGATGTCCCGCCAGATCCGGCTTAAGAGCTCGGACTGGTCGGCCTCCTCAAGAGAGCCGCCGCAGCGCCGAACGAAGCTTACGGCCTCGTCGGACGGCCGCCCCCCGGTTTCGAAGACCATCGGGACGAGGTCTAGGCCCTCCCGGGGGGGTATCAGCCACGTTTGTCGTCGACCATCTGGGCCGCTGCGAGTCCATCGCGTTCGGTTCGGGCGTGCCTGCGTGGGGCGTAGGTGGATTGTACGCAGGTCACCGCCCAGTCGATAAAGATGGGTCGACTGGTGCTGGGGTCGTGTGTCTGGATGTCCAACCTTGCTTCCTGGAGGCCCCGGTGCGGGGATGGCGCCGATCCCACGCTGGAGCGTGTTGTTCCGTCGGAGCAGCATGCCCCGTGAGATCCTTTTGCATGGATGCATGCATGTCGGTCACGGAGGCGGTCGTGCCGGGCGGCGCGGGATTGGCCCACCTCGCATGATTTCGCGTGGAACCCGTGTGGGTCGAGGGGCTCTCCGCACAGCGTGACGTCTTGTCATCGGTGTTGGCAGCGCGAACCGGCGGGGCAGACTGGCGCTCGCAGCCGGCACATGAGGTTCACCTCGAAGTGGTCGCCTGTCGTTCTCGGATTTTCCCGGAGGCTGCCTTGCTCCACGCGCCCTGGAGCTTAGCGTGGGGTTCCTGAAGACTGCGGGCCCAGTCGATGGGCTGTCCGACTGTCGCCCCCCAGGCTTGTAGCGCTTGCTCGGCTTGGGCGAGCGCTTGGAGGGTCCGCGGGCACCGCGTCTGAAACCCCTCCAGCGTGCTCACGTCCAGGCACTTCGCCACGTCGTGGAGGCAGAGCGCCCCGCTCGCGGCGTAGGCTGCTGGTGCAGTCTGGGCAGCGGAGGGAATGGCGCACCCTCCATCTGCGAGGCGCATGCTGGCCTGCAGCCTCTGGAGCTCGTCCAGGTGACTCCCGCGCAGGAAGTGTTCTAGGGCCGAAAACACCACCGCGTCGAGCTGATCCACCCAGTTGCTCCGCAGATTGGCTCGCAAGTGGTGGGTGACGCATCCTTGCGCGAAGGTCCGCAGCAGGGTGAGGTAGGCCTCGGCGGAGAGTCCAGCCTCTCCGAGGTCTCGGAGCCTCTGGGTGAAAGCCTGCGCCCGTTGCACTGCCGCCGCGCCGTCTTCCCCTGCGCGAACTAGAACCCCGTTCTCCTGTTGGTGGAGCCAGGGCGCCGTGTTGCCCCTCCCTCCCTCCCTCCCTCACTCACTCACTCCCCCCCTCCCTCCCCCCTCCCTCCCTCCCCCCTCCACAATTACTCCATATGAATACTACTCTCCCTCTTCCCCTGATGACGTGCTGGGAATGTTCGCCCCACCCCCGCGTCCTGCTTTTTTACACACAGGATTCCCGGGAGTTGGGTTTTCGCCTGCATTCGTTTTCAAAATGCTGCTCTCGCTGAGGCGCGAGCCTCATTTTCGGGCCCCGCTCGTTCCGAATCGTGCTCCTGCTGCAGCGCTGGCCTCATTTCCGTGTTTCCGCTCGATCCGAATCGTGCTCCCACTGCAGCGCTGGCCTTATTTCCGCGCTTCCGCTCGTTTCGACTCGTGTTCCCTCTGCAGCGCTGGCGTCATTTTCCGTGCCATGCCACGGCATGCGATGCAATGCTAGGTTGATACTACGCTTTGCGGTGCTCTTCTACACCATGCCATGCCGTGCTCTACAATGCATCGCGTACCCTTTCGGGATCATTGCCCTGCTCGACATCCGACTGTGCGAGTAGAGAGGGGATCTGCGCCATGGTAAGGGATGGGAGGGAGGGGTAGGATGTCAGATATGACGCGAGCGCACCTAGTTTGTCCCCCCTCCCTCCCTCCCTCCCCCCTCCCTCCCCTCCTCCCCTCCCGCCCTCCCCTCCATCCCTCCCTCCATCCCCTCCCCCCCTCCTTCCCTCCCTCCCTCCCCTCCCTCCCCCGCCCCCCTCCTCCTCCCTCCCTCCCTCCCTCCACCCTCCCTCCCTCCCTCCCTTCCCTCCATCCTTCCATCCATCCATCCATCCCCCCCCCCTCCTCCCCCGCCCTCCCTCCCCTCCATCCCCCCCTCCCTCCCTCGCTCCTTCCCGCCCTCCCTCCTCTCGCCCTCCCGCCTTCCCTCTCTCCCCTCCTCCCCTCCCTCCTCCCCTCCTCATCCTCCTCCCTCCTCCTGCTCCTGCTGCTCTCTCTGCTCCTCCCTCCTCTCCTCCTCCTCTCCTCCTCCTCCTCGCCTCCTCCTCCTCCTCCTCCTCCTCCTCCTCCTCCTCCTCCTCCTCCTCCTCCTCCTCCTCCTCCTCCATTTCCTCATCCTCCTCCTCCTCCTCCCTTTCATCCTCCTCCTTCTCCTCCTCCTCCTGTTCATTCTCCTCCTCATCCTCCTCCTCATCCTCCTCCTCCTTCTCCCCCTTCTCCTCCTGTTCCTCCTCCTCGTCCTTCTCATCATCTTGCTAGTAGTAGTATTAGTGTTACTCCTCTTGTTTAATAGTCTTACTAGTAGTATTAGTATTAGTATAATGGTTGTTCTTCGTAGAATCATAAGTATGCTCACTAGTATTAGTATGTGCCCCATGTGTTGTTAGTAGTGTTAGTATTATGTATTATAAGTAATCTTAAACATTATAAGTAGTATAAGTAACAGTATTAGTATCAGCTTTCTTATTGTTGGTATTAGTAGTAGTAGTATTATTGTTATTACTAGTATTAATACTACTAGTATTATTATTGATAGTATGAGTATTATTATTGTTATTGATGATGATAGCATTATTCGTATTGACACTCTTCTTCTTAGTAATAATAGTAATATTATTATCATTGCTCTTATTATTCGTATCAATCGTCTTATTAATATTGTTAATAGTGTTCGTCTTATTGGTCTTCGTATTAGCAGCGTTCGCATTAGTATTCGTAATCTGCTTATTATGAATAATAGTATTCGTCTCCTTATTCGTATTAGTATTAATATTAGTGTTGTTTATGTTTCTTGTTATTGTGATGATTATTACTGTTAGTATTATTACTCTTAGTAATAGTATTATTCCTCTTGTTATTAATGTTAATCCTCCTCTTCTTCTTATAATTCGTATTATTATTACTCGTAGTATTCTTATTATTATTCGTAATATTATTCGTGTTGCTACGCTTACTATCCTTATGCTTATTATTATGTTGATTATTCTTATTAGTTTAATAAGTATTATTGTTCTTGATATTTTTAATATTGACATTATTATTAGTAGTATTAGTATTAATAATATTATTATTCCTCCTCATCCTCCTCCTCTTCCTCCTCCTCTTCTCCTCCCAGACGGCGCCCGCCTTCCATCTATAGATCAGGCCCGCGCCTTCTAAGAAGCAGGGGGGCCTCCAAGAAGCCCTCCCCCCTCCCCCCACCCCCCTGTGCGCGTGGCTGAGCAATGCACCGCCAGAATATGTCCACATCCACTGCGTCGGAATCGCCCCCTGGAATCCCGACGGGTGGTGGATATGGATATTATCCCGCCTTCGGGGGCGGGCAGATGTCCATATCCAGCGCTCCCCGAAGTCCCGGGGCACGACCCAGAAGCGGTAGATATGGACATGCATATCCTGGCGGTGAACTTAGTGTTTCTTGGAAAGAGCAAGCTCGTTGCTTACCGTTTCCAGAAATACCTGAATCTCGATAGTGAGGCAACGGTACTCAAAAGGACCGAACAAAGCCAGCCCCAGGATTGAAGCCGGAGCAGGAACCGGAACAAAAATGGCGACGGAACCAAAACAAAAAAGAGGGGCAGATCCAGAAAGACATGCGAAACGAAAACGGACAACCAACGGCCCTGCCGTCACCAAGAACCACTCAAGGAGAGACAGGGGCCACCGCCAGCGAGGACCCATCAGGGGGCCCGAATCCCCTGGGCGGCGCCACGCCCGATCGTCATTCCGTGCAGGACGACGATCGGGCGTGCCGCCGCCCAAGGGTCGCCCCCCCCCCCTCCGATGGGTTCACGGCGGCGGTGGTCCGTGGCCCTCCTCCGACAGGGAGGCGGACAGCCAAGCGGCGGGGACCGCACGCCTTCGCCGAGAGCCTCGTCGAAGACATGAGCGCTCAGAGCCCCAGGGTGCGCGCGGTATGGTCCCCCCTGGGTTGCCCCCCCCCCCCCCGCGGCTTCGGCCGCCGGCCGGTCCTCGCGGGCGGCCGACGGCTCCTGCTCCTCGGCCAAGAGCTCGTAGGAGAGCCGGATGCTCATGGGGGGGTGGCTGGGGCTCGAGACCTCCTCCACCTCTTAGGGGAACGAAGGACGACATCAACACAACAACTCGGAGGTCCGCGCGGATTCCTCGGATCGGCGCTGGGCCCCACTCCCTGGCGCGCGGAGCGCGCCAGGGGCGGCGCCGGAGGCGCCGCCAGTCGGCCCAGCGCGGTGCCGAGGAATCCGCGCGGACCTCCGAGTTTTCATGTTCATGTCGCTCTGCGCTCCCCGAGCCTCCCCCGAGGCCTCCCGCCGGAGGGCGCCGGCTGCCGAGGGGGCCTCCTGGCCCTCCGCCGCGCGGATGATCTGGCCGACCTCCCCGCTGCGGATGCCGCTCAGCAGCGCCCTGGCAGCCTTGCCCCTCGGCCTGAGGCCCTCTGCCGCCCTGACCGAGGGCCGCGCCTCTGGCGCGCCCGCGGCGGCCGGCGCCTCCGCGGGGAGAGGCGCCGCGGCCGAGGCCTCGGCCGCGGCCTTGGGCGGCTGGGTGGCAGAGGGGCGGCGGGGCGGGGCCGAGAGGAGGACGCAGAGGGGGCGGACATGGCCCGAGGAGGAGGAGGAGGAGGAGGAGGAGGAGGAGGAGGAGGAGGAGGAGGAGGAGGAGGAGCAGCAGGAGGGGGCGGCGGCGGAGGCGGCGGAGGCGGGGGAGGCGCTGGCGGAGGAGGAGGACCTTGGGCGGCTCGCTGGCCGAGAGGGACAGGGAGTGGGAGAAGTCCGGCGCGTCGCCCGCAGAGGCGTCCAGCTGCAGCTCAGCGAGCTGCTGCGCCGCGGGGTCCTGTCGGGGCCGGAGTGTGGAGGGAGCCCCCCTGCGGACTCCTCGGAGGCCCTCGGAGGCCCCACGTGGAGGCCCCTTGCGAAGCCTCGACATCCCAATCCTCCCCCTCCTGCCCCCCCTTCCCTGCTTCGGGAGCATAACGGACCCCGCGTTTCAAAGGTTTTGTTCGAGCTTTGGGCGCAAGCAGCACACTTTCTCTCTCTCCTTCTCTTTCTCTTTCTCTTTCTATGTTTTCCCTCTCTCTCTCTTTCTCTCTCTCTTTCTCTCTCTCTCTCTCTCTCTCTCTCTCTCTCTCTCTCTCTCTCTCTCGATATTATATATATATATATATATATATATATATATATATATATCGCTCCCTCTGTCTCCCTATCTCTCCCTCTCTCTGGAAGACGCTCAGGTTGAGTTCTGCTTCTTTCTGGGGGGTAATAGACTCGCCTGAAGGGGGGAACAAGTCGATTCCCTTTGTGTGTGGGGAGGGAGGGAGGGGGGCAAACAGATTCCCTTTGCCGGCGGGTACAACAAGATTCCTTACTTTGAGGGAGGGGCACAAACACCTAAATTCCCTTTGTGGCGGTTACAAACAGATTCCATGTGGGAGGCAAGTTGATTCCGGTTGCAGCAGAGGAAGGGAGGTTCTGGCCCTGGGGGGAAGATGCCGAGCCAACGGCTGGGTTTCTTCGGGCTCAGGTAGAAAAATATCCCGGCAACGCAACCTGACAGCGATGTGTATAAGCATATCTGGAAGCATTCCCCTTAAGATTCAAATGAGAATCCAGTTGTAGAATTCTGCTGTTCTCGCAGTCGCAGTCGCATTCGCAATGACAGTCGCAGTGGCAACGGCCTTAGGATCCAATGGAATCCTAAGGATTCCTAGGGATTCCTAAGGCATCCTTAGGCATCCTTAGGAATACATGGGAATCCTTAGGAAACCTTAAAAATCCTGATTCCTAGGGATTCCTAAGGATTCCCAGGGAATCCTAAGGATTCCGAAGGATTCGCCTGCCTCGGCCTCAGCCTCAGCCTGCCTCAGCCTCAGCCTGCCTCAGCCTCAGCCTCAGCCTGTCTCAGCCTCAGCCTACCTCAGCATCAGCCTGCCTCAGCCTCAGCCTGCCTCGGCTTGCCTCGCCCTCAGCCTCAGCCTGCCTCGGCCTCAGCCTCAGCCTCAGCCTGCCTTAGCCTCAGCCTCAGCCTGCCTCAGCCTCAGCCTGCATCAGCCTCAGCCTCAGCCTGCCTCAGCCGCAGCTTGCCTCAGCCTCAGCCACTGCCTCAGCCTCAGCCTCAGCCACTGCCTCAGCTTCAGCCTCAGCCTCAGCCTGCCTCGGCTTGCCTCAGCCTCAGCCTCAGCCTGCCTCGGCCTCAGCCTCAGCCTGCCTCAGCCTCAGCGTCAGCCTCTCAGCCTCAGCCTGCATCAGCCTCAGCCTCAGCCTCAGCCTGCCTCAGCCTCAGTCTCAGCCTGCCTCAGCCTCAGCCTGCCTCAGCCTCCTGAGCCTGCCTCGGCCTCAGCCTCAGCCTGCCTCAGCCTCAGCCTGCCTCAGCCTCAGCCTCAGCCTGTCTCAGCCTCAGCCTGCCTCAGCTTCAGCCTCAGCCTCAGCCTGCCTCGGCTTGCCTCGGCCTCAGCCTCAGCCTGCCTCGGCCTCAGCCTGCCTCAGCCTCAGCCTCAGCCTGCCTCAGCCTCAGCCTCAGCCTGCCTCAGCCGCAGCTTGCCTCAGCCTCAGCCACGAGGCATCAGCCTGCCTCGGCTTGCCTCAGCCTCAGCCTCAGCCTGCCTCGGCCTCAGCCTCAGCCTCAGCCTGCCCCAGCATCAGCGTCAGCCTCTCAGCCTCAGCCTGCATCAGCCTCAGCCTCAGCCTCAGCCTGCCTCAGCCTCAGCCTCAGCCTGCCTCAGCCTCAGCCTCAGCCTGCCTCGGCGTGCCTTAGCTTAAGCCTCAGCCTGCCTCGGCCTCAGCCTGCCTCGGCCTCAGCCCTCGGCCTCAGCCTGCCTCAGCTCGGGCATTCAAAATATGGCACAGGACTGGTGTTCTGGGAACACGAAGATCACGAAGTGGCCCACAGTTGGCTCCGGGCAATCAAAAGATGGTACAGGAATGGTGTTCCAGGAACACGAAGAACACGAAGTGGCTTACAGTTGGCTCCGGGCATTCAAAATGTGGCCTGGGAATGGTGTTCTGGGAACACGAAGAGCACGAAGTGGCCTACAGTTGGCTCCAGGCATTCAAAATGTGGCCTGGGAATGGTGTTCTGGGAACACGAAGAACACGAAGTGGCCTACGGTTGGCTCCGGGCATTCCCTGGGAATGGTGTTCTGGGAACACGAACATCACAAAGTGGCTTACAGTTAGCTCCATGCATTCAAAATGTGGCCTGGGAATGGTGTTCTGGGAATGGATTCCTAAGGATTCCCAAGAATTCCTAAGGATTCCTAACGATTCCTGGGGCTGTCCGGATCTGTCTGGATCCCGCCCAGGCCCCCCTGGGGCGTCAAGATGCTCTCTTTTGAGCCCACTAGAAGCCTATCAGCAAAAGCTGTTAGGTAATTGAGCGAGTGGATGCACAGGGCCCGTTTGGACCCCGCGCATTCCTTACACACCCACCTTGCACCCTCTTCTGCTTTCATTATCATCATGGTCACCATCACCAAAAACCATAATTACGAACATGGCGCCACCATCGTCATCATCCTCATCATCATCATCATCAGCAGCAGCAGCAGCATCATCGTCAGAATCGTACTCAGCAGCATCAACCTCATCACAATCATCATCATCATCATCATCATCATCATCAGCAGCAGCAGCAGCAGCAGCATCCTCATTATCATCATCACCAACCTTACATTATCATAACCATCGACCATCGACCGTCATCGTCATCATCAACACCATCGTCACCATCAGCATCAGCAGTTTCATTATCATTATGATTATCATCATCATCACCATCATCCCCGTCATTATCTGTCACCAGCATCATCAGCGCACACACTCATTCACCCACTCACACATCCACACGCTCACACACACACACACACACACTCATCATGAGGATGCCGCAAGCGGGAGCCTCATTGTGATCGAATTGCGAGGAAGCGGTGGGAGCCCCCTTCCTGTGGGGCCCGCACCTCATGTTTCTAATCCGAGGAGGCCATCCTCAAATTTGAATTTGTCGTCACTTCTTGGCTCCTCAGTCCTGAATGTGGCGTAAGTCTCGAGCGAGGACATCGTGTGTAAGTGATTTGCCAGAAAGTTTCAGGCGGATGCCCCTCCCCATGGGGCTCGCACATCACGTTATTAATCCAAAGGACGCATCCTCAAACCTGTCACCGTCGTCACGGTTTGGCCCCTCGCCCTGCATTGGCGGAATTCTCGAGCGGGAGCTTCGTCTTTATGTGAGTTGCGAGGATATCTCATGCGGGAGAACCCTCCCTATGGGGCCCGCACCTGACGTTTCTATTCCGAGGGGATCGTCCTCAAGCCTGTAATTGTCGTCAACCCTGGGCTCCTCAATGATGCAAATGGCGGAGGTTCCGAACGGGAGTTCCGTGTGTGACTGGGTTGCGGGGAAGTCTCAGGCGAGAGCCTCCTCCTATGGAGGAGTTACACAGCGGGAGCTTCGTTTGTAAGTGGATCGTGAGGAAGTCTCAGGCGGGAACACCCTCCCTATGGGGCCCGCACCTCGCGTCTTGAATCCGAGGGGTCGTCCTCAAACCTGCAACTGTCGTCAATCATTCACGCATGCACGCACTCATCTTGAGGAAATTTCAAGCGGGAGCCCCATCTGTGTGTGAGTTCCGAGGGAATATCAGGCGGGCGCCCCCCCCCCCCCCCCATGGGGCCCGCAAGTCATGTTTGTTCCAAACTATCCTGTGGTGCTGGGTCCTCGTTTTGAAGAGACGGTGCTCCGCGTTCATTCCTCCTTCCCCTTCCTCCTCCAATTCCTCCTTCCTCCTCCTCCTCCCATCATCATCATCATCATCATCATCATCATCATCATCATCATCATCATCAACATCAACATCAGCATCAACATCAACATCAGCATCAGCATCAGCATCATCACCACCACCACCACCACCATCATCATCGTCCTCATCATCAACAACAACAATAACAACAACAACAACAACAACAACAACAACAACAACAACAACAACAACAACAACAACAACAATTACTAGCACGTGGGGACACTCCGTTCTCACCAGTGCCAGGGTTTTCATACGACGCCCGCCAATACCCCCACTTTGTGGGGGGGCCGGTTCAAGCTCTACCCACATTTCCAAACGACTCTTCGCCACCACCCACACCCAGCTTCCCGCCCTATGACGTTCGGACACTTCACTTCGTGGCCTGCGGACGACCGTGGCTACTACACTGGCGCATGGGTACTACACAGCGCGCGCGGGTAGGAATTTTGAAAATTCGTACAGATGTTTTTCGAGGACCTACGGTGCGATTCGTATGATTTTATGTTGCGCGGTGCTAAAATTCCTAAGAAACCCAATGGTTTTTGAAGATTTCGGCGTGCGCGCGCGAAGAAAAAACGAATGTGTCCCGCATGGTATTATTTGACAGGGATGATGGCCCTGGCAGGTGCGCAACCGTTGTTGGAGAAGTTCGAAGCACGTGAAAAAGTTGCTCGCAAAAGCCCGTTTGACAGAAATGTTGAAAAAGTATTGGGTTTCCTAAGAAATCCGCAAGAGCGCGCGGGGTGAATTGTTGAAACCCTTTTTTTTGAAAAACCGTTGGTTTTTCATGTGTTTATGTTAAATCGCTACGAAAACTAAGGTTTTGGAAGGATTTCATCTTGCGCGCGCGAGTGTGCACTTCGTGTCATTTGTTGCAAGGGATTCTTGAAGTTTGGTCATGTTAGAACAAGAAATGTCCACTTTGCCTGATTTTTTGCGAGGGAAAACCGATCGTAACAACACAACCGGATCTGGTATACCCCGTTTTGCCTGAGACTTCCTCACGAAAATGATGAAAATGTGGCTGCGGCCT